TAAAGTATGGATCAATAACAGGCCATCTGATGACCCTGACATTTTGTAGAATTGCATGAAGCCTTTAATGTCACAATTATATCGGATCATAGACATACTGTTGATGGTTTTCGGACTTTTTCATTATATGATGACATTTGAACAAAAATGTATTCTCATTTTGAACTGGAGCATCTGTAGATAAATGCAGCCTTCTAATGTCTGTCAGACATTGTTGACAAAGGAATACTGACAAAATGACCTCACACCTATTCATTCCTCTAAAAGGGCACTAAAGGTTTTTTTCTCCCAATTACAAAAAACTCCTAATTTGAGCTTTTCCAAAGTAGAGATGTGTGTTTGACATTGGTTTCATGTGTGTCCCCACAGTCCACAGTGCCACTCTCTTCCTCAACGTGCTGGCCTGCCTGGCTTACTTCACTGCAGACGCTGAGTACGGGGTTGACTTCGGTCTGTCCATCCTCTGGTTCATCCTCTTCACCCCGGTGTCCTTCATCTGCTGGTACCGGCCCGTCTACAAGGCCTTCAGGTACACTGTTTTGCTTGCCTCGTGCTCACAAGGAAATGTTGATTGTTTTCCGTGACTTACAGGGCTTAATGCTTTTATTTCTTTGTACAAGTAGAAACGGCACATGTAGACGAGCTAATTAGCAGTGTTGTTCTTATCTTTCTCTATTTTACTTTTTAAAAACTTGGCAGCCTCATCATTCAACTCAACTAGAGGGGTTTGAGGTTAATGTGGGCCACCCTGTACTCCATTTAAAATATTAGACGTTGCTAAAATTAGATTCTCTGGTTCATAGCTCATTGCTTTGATTAATAAAAATACTTACAATCTTTTCATAGGATAATCATCTTAAACAGCATTACATCTTAACAAGATTCCAAAATAACTTCCAATTGGAGAATTATCTGCATTTTTAATTATAATCATTAAAGGTGGGGTAGGTAAGTTTGAGAAACCGGCTCGAGATACACTTTTTGTTATATTCCATGGAATGCTCTTAACATCCCGATAGCAATGAATATCTGAAGTGCTTTGACAAAAAATCCATACAAAAATGTCATCTGTGGAAGCCGTAGTGCTGTAAAAAGCACGACCGATCATTTTAGCCGGCCCGGCTAAGTAACTGGATGGCCTACCTGCCTGTCAGCCTTCCATCTGTGCACAAACTTATCTCGTGCCCTCATTGGTCATGTGCGCGTTCGTGTGTGTTGGAGGAGGGGCTCTGTAAGGAAGTGGCAGATTTTTTCCGGCTATGTATTTTCAAATTTTAGCGATCTCGAGCTGGTTTCTCCAAAATGACCTACCCCACCTTTAAGGTATATCTAATGAAACACAAGTCTTTAATTAGATGCTAAACATTGATGATGCTCTATTGATCATCTTTGTGACTTCTACAGTTGAATGTATTTAAATGGTTTACATCTTTATCGAATATTCTTGCAGCGAACAAACCTCTTGACTTATCATTATCATGAAAACATTTGAATTGTGTTTTCTATTTTCCCTCTCTAGGTCTGACAGCTCCTTCAGCTTCTTTTTCTTCTTTTTTGTCTTTTTCTTCCAAGTGGCAGTGTATATCATCCAGACTGTGGGGATCCCCAAGTGGGGAAACAGGTCAGTGCCAACCTTTATTATTTAAATCATCTTCTGCATGTTTGGTGGAAGTAAAGGTGTGGTGTAAAGTTGTTCAACAGGTTTCTATTCTCATAACTAAGACTGAGTGTGATTTGGGTAGATCTGTAGTAAATGTGTGTATGCACGGGTCCATCTTCATTCTCGCCTGTATGTGTGTGTGTGTGTGTGTGTGTGTTTTTGCCCTGTTTCTCCTCTCTTGCATCTCTTTGACAGATTCCTGCTGCCCTAACTTGTCTGGGTTGCTGCTTTGTAAGTGTGTGGAACTTTTCTCTTTGGGTTTCTTTTCTGTGTCATGTAATATATTAGGCTTTTCAGTTTGTCATTATTCACTTTTTCAAACTTCTTGCTACTCCATTGGTCACTTGGGCAGGTTACAATGTTGGGTCATTTCTCTTTAATTCAGCCATTTCCAGAACTTTTCAAATGCTTGAAGTTGTTAAATATTTAGTAAATGCTCATTGTAGAGAGAAATGTAAAGTTACACGTGTTTATTGGTTGTCTCTGTTTCTAACAGCGGATGGATCGCATCCATCAGCATGATCGGCAAAAACTTGGCTGTGGCTGTGGTTATGATGGTGGTGGCCGGTTTTTTCACAGTGAACTCTGTCCTGGCTGTCATCCTACTGAAAATGGTATGCTAATGTAAAAAGTTTACAAAGGGAAATAAAGCCATGACCCTAAAACAGCACTCTACACTTACTGTATGTTCGCAGTTAAATAAAAGATGGCAGTGCCTCACAATCAACTGAAGTTGCCTGAAAATAGAGAGTTAAACATGGCGCGCATTACATATATAAATATGTGTATTCCCACTTGGCTTATATTTGTTTTTAGCTCCAACTTAGTGAAGGTGCATGCAGATCAAAGAAAGAAACATAACGAGAGAAACTAAAAATGTAAGTGACACAGATAAACTTGCATTGCAGCTGAAAGTGAAAGGGCAAAGAAGGTATCGGAGGGAATGTCAAGATTTAGAAACCCTCGAAGGGTCAAACATTTTCAAAATTATCTAAGCAAATCAGTCAACATTTTATTTTAACACTTATTTAAGAATCAATCAAAAATACCACAATTCATTAGGTGAAGACATGAGAAAATACTGGGAAATACTTATTCACAAACAAACATAATTGTTTTAACAACAGTACCTTTGGCCATGGTACGAGATGTTAATAACTGATTCATTTTCAATCAAAGTAGTACAATTATGATCAATTATTAAAGAAGTTGGCTATTACTTTTATTTTGATGGACTAATTGTTGTAGCTCTATTCTGAAGAAAATGTTACCCTGCAATATTGGTTGCCAATATCTGCCATTGCTTTACACACATGCTAACAATTTTATCCTCAACATGCATTTTTTTTGGGGGGGGGGAGGGGGCGTGAAATACATTTTCCACTAAATGTCACTGACATTTAAGTTTTTCAACAATTGGGACTGAAAACAGGAGCTACTCATCTGTTGACCTCATTTATAACCTGTCACTGCCCTTATCTGTGCCTAATTTCCTATACTAGGTCCACTCTAAGTACAGAAGGACCGGGGCCAGCTTCACCAAGGCCCAGCAGGAGTTCTCCCACGGAGTCATTACCAACCCCACTGTGCAGACTGCTGCCACCAGTGCTGCCACCTCCGCTGCACAGGGAGCCTTCAGCAGGAACCAGAGGAATTAGATTGCTTTTCACATCCTTCATGCTACAGGCTGGTCTCTTCTCTGACCAACAAAGCCATGTCCTAACGTACTTCGACGGGTTTAGGAAATGGGTGTAATTATTTAGTGAAGAGGGCAAAAACAATCAACATGAAGAAAAGTATTGTCATTTGAACAGCAGCCTAGTGAAGTGTCCCCATTTTCCACTTTAAATAGGCTATGGTGTAGTACAGAAGACATTGGCAACTTCAACATCACAATATAACCAACTTGAATAAACTCAACATTATCTGACTAAAGATATACACGTTAAAGTATACGCAGTGCAATATGCAGTGTACTATTGAACCGGTCTGGGATTTAGTGATAACATACAATAATTAAAATCCTGTCACTGTTAAATACGCTGGCGGAAAGTGATAGGATTTTTCTATCTCACAATTTTGTTTAGAAATAACATGCTGGGGCCTCAAAAATCAACTTTAGAAGAGTTGGAATTATATAAAACGCATACTTGACCAGAGAATGTTTAACCATTATTGAATGATGGATTCACTTAGCTTGTATGTATACTGTACATGTTTGCCATTGCAGCAGCATGTAGAGCTTTACGGAGTAACTGGTTTATCATTCTGCTTTATGAGCAACCTTGATACATGCAGTACACATAATATGACTGGATGCCCTAGAAAATGAGATGCATCCTGTTACTATCTTACACGAAAACAGCTGCTGTTTGTACTAAATGTTATGTTTTCATTTGTATAACACTGTAAAAAATGATGGTTAATGAAGGTGAAGGGATGAAGGTTTTTCTTTTTACTGTTTTAATCACTGGTCTTGACGTGAGAAAAGCAAGTTGTTTTTAGTGGAAATTAAGTTGTTGTTTAACTGGGATTGTACATTTTCATTCATGTTGACTTAGGAATACCATTATGTTTCTTTCACAGTATGGAGCCTTTAAAATTAAACAAATGGTACAGGTTTCTTAATGTAACATTTCTGACATAGTATAGAATTTAGCTAATTTATGTAGTAAAATGTATTAATGAGCAGAAAGAACACAATATTTATTTGTTGATTATCCAGAATTTTGACTTGTTATCCGTAATAATTATACTGCAGATTAAAGTCATGTTACTGAATAGTCGCATATGGGTTGTCATTTTGAGTTGCTTGTTACCTACTTGTTGGTATTAGCATGTTCACGTTTGCCTGTGAATATATAGAATGTAGGTTACGATGTCCAATTCTGATCTACTGTTTCACTGAATCACGTGCTTGTAGTGTACCCTCAGTGCCTCTCAGCAGATGTAGTTCAGACATTTTTCCGTGGGGGTTTAAGCACAAGGCTGTTAGTGTTTTTGTTAAAAATGGTTTTGGTTTCATACTTAATAGAAAAAATTGTTTTTTAGGTGTGTTGTACATATTGGTGACTTATTTAAAACACTTCTCGATACTTGCTAGAAACTGGTTCCCTATAACATTCAATAAACAGTTCTGGCCTATTTCACAAAACGTGGATCTTGTCTAAATAGCTTGTTTAGTAAAGAATACTATAGGGAAAGTCTTAGATACATGATGTAAAATACACGTAGACGAATTAAAACCTTGATGATGTACATTGTATTGGTTGGTTGTAACAGTAAGTAAAATCATTCATAAATCCAGCCAGCCACTCCTCCGCATTCCACCATTGTATCCATGGCAACAGCTTCTGCTGTTGATCATCCCAAGATGGCGGACGAGGAGAATGTCACCGCGGTGAGTGCAATACTAAAGCTACTTAACGTTTTAATGGGTAAACACACAAAACGTCACTGGGAAAGTGTTATTCTGATACTCCCAAAGTAAACGTAACGATGTGCTTTTGAATACATGCTTCATAAAAACCCGTTTAATGTATGTTAGCTGCCTGGCTAACCGAGTGTAAATCGCAGCTTAGTTAATTAACCTACAGCTAACGGTAACTTTAATCTCACTCCTCCAAGGACAAGCTAAAACAAGAGAGCTAACAGCTACAGCTGGAGGAAGGGAACAACTACAGACATGCCTTGGCTTACACTAAGAGTGCTGCATCGTTAGCCCACGCTTTATGTTTTATCTTAGGTTAGATAACGTAAATAAATGTCCAGTTCTGCGCTAACTGAGGCTGGATTTACCACACATACTAGTTGTGGTGTGGCTATAACGTCTAGCGTTTATGACGTGGTGAAGTATAGACAATAGTAATGCACAACACTTCAGTGGCAAAGCAACCCACAAGTGAGTCGGATTTGGAGAAGAGATGCGAAGCAAAACATTGCGATTGAGCATGCGTGCGATCTACCTGACACAAGAAAGCTGTTTAATCCTATAGCCTGCAAACCACTGCATGCCGAAGTGTAAACAAAGAAACACAAGCTGCTCCTTCTGTTATGAATATTCAGAAACAGTGTTACACCTTTTTCGACCTTGTTCTCACATCAAGAAATTCTTGCAAAGCAGATTTGTCATTGATCAGATCTGTTTGTTTAACATACACTTTTTCTAGTCTGATAAACTGGCTCCATTTGTTTGCTATCTGTTGTATAATGTTTAAAACATACATTTTAACTATATTTGGCCAATTAATGACATTGACTTTTACTTAACAACATCAATACATTCCTAGGCTTATCATGTCCAATCAAGAAACAAATGTATTTATATTCTTTATATTTGTATATAACAGTGAACACACCTTAACTTATCAGCAGACATTTCAGCCAGTCTAAACGTTGACCTGTATTACCACACAGACTTAACTGTAAGAAACTGGGGGAAATCTATTTCCGTGTGGCCACAGCGCATGCTTCCTATGGGAACTCTGATTGATGGTGTCCAGTGTGTTTTGGCTGTAATGGAGTGTATGGTGCTTATTACTTATTTGTCTGTTGTATTTTATATATTTCAGCTCCCAGTTGCGACTGAAGCCAAGAAACGTCGGGCACCTAAAGGTACAGAGCATTAACACTTGCATATCATATGACACAATGATTCAAAAACACAATTTCTCCCAATATTTAAATTTCTCACAATAAACCTGTAACTGGAACAGGATACTCAAAGAGTGAGTGGAACTAATCGTCCTGCAGAGGTCACCCTCACCCTTCTTTCTGCCATCACCACTAGGAACAAGCTTCTTCTTCTGTTCATCAGTATGCTGCTGAATGTGTTCAGGACATTTCTTTGTCTGGAAAATGTTTGTTAATCACATTACACTAGGATATTGTGTCATCATAGATATGGCTTAATGACCCATTAACCAGTTAAGCTGCTATTCATGACTAAGCTTTTTAGTTTTTCTTGTTTGGCAATGTTTGGTAATTAACATCAGCACTGCTCAGAATGCGACCCCTATGACAGCAGTTGAGGAAATGCTTTGGTATTATATTGCATAGTATTATTTTTCGTGCATGGCATTCAAGCCGGTACTGTGGTGTGCTTTCATTTAGTTTAATTTAAGGAGGTTAAACCAAATACAATTCTAACTACATTACTGTAAGATGAGTAAGTGATGAAAAAAAAACATTCAAATATCACACTATTTGCAATAATAATAATAATACCTTTGAGTTAATGGTACCTTTCAAAGCACCCAAGGACACCTTACAATTCATAAAATATTCAAAAAACGAGGTTAAAAAATGTACAAAAGGACAATAACAGGGAGTACTACAGTGAGTAGGCTGATCTGAACTGGGGGGTTTTGAGGAGGGACTTGAATGTGGAGATGGTGTCAGACTGTCGATGTGTGGTGGGAGGGAGTTCCATAGTCTTGGAGCAGTGCAGCTCAAAGCCAGAGCACCCATGATGACGAGGCCTGGGGTGGGGACAGATAGTAAACCAGCAGAGGGGAGGAGGAGGTCAGCCAGTGCAGTTGGATGGGGTGATATGGTCAGAGGATTTTTTGCGGTGATGATCCAGCAGCAGAGTCCTGAATGGAGTAATCATTTAACACAATACAACTGATTGTTAAATAGAATAATAAGGAAATATAAAGCTTTGAATGTGACGTAGAGACGTATAGGAAATCAAAACATACATTACTTAAAAATACATAATAATTATTTACACAATGTCTTGAGGTACTTGCTGAGTTAACACATTTAAACAATCCACTTAATTAACCTCAGGGAATTTTTACTTAATTGTACTACACTCTGAAAATGTGAAATACTTTTTTTAAAACAACTTAACTCTCAGTTGAATTGTCTCCTTAAGCCATTTTTCATTCTCTAACAACCACAAAATGTAATTAGGGTTATAAAATGCACACATAAAAATGAATTGTTAACAAGAAGTGTATTATGATATCTTCTTACATCTTTTGTAATTCAGTTCTACATTGTTAGCGGGGAAGACCAAGAAGGTGTTTCAGAAATATGAGCATGCCTCCAAGAAATGCCTCTTTTTTTTGCGACAAATACGCTGCCAATGGCTATGCTCATTTTATTCATTTTTTCGAGTACAATATGTTTACATTTTGTAGAATCAAATGCAATCGGCCTCATTTTGACACTAACTTCTGTCACATTTACGGGAAGAATAAGTGTCTGCAGCTGAGTATGAGACTTGACATGACCAAGGGCTCTTAAAAATGTGTGCGTGAAACTTTCCCCCCAAAAAAGATTCTCGTATTATTCATTACATTCTCTCCATGTGTCTTTTGATCTCAGCATGCTTCTGCTTTGCTCTTATCCCCTTTAACCAGACAGTTGAAGCACACGGAAGCCAACTCTGCATTAGCATTAGCCAGATCAAATATAACAATGAAAAAATCCCTCCATGTTTGGGAGGATTTAAAAAAAACTTTATTTAGAACACCTCATGCTGTGCTCTTCTTCTGAGCTCCTTTCTACCCTTCTTTCATAGTTATTACAGGAATACATCACACATGTATCCCGTCTTTCCTCCACCCTGCTTTGTGTGTGTGGACACTGGAGCGCCACAGGGCCCCGTCTGAAACCCAGAGACAAGAATATTATTGCTGTCTCAGCAGGAAGAAAGCGGATTAGGGTGCTACAAATAGGGCCCGTTCCGAATCTTGACGGGGCAAACGTGTGAAACCCATGCAGTTTCACACTCGGCAGTGGAGAGCATCCTCTGAAGTTTTTGGAAGAGGCTCTAGTTCTGGTGGCAAATCAACACAGTACCGCTTGAAGCGCTGACAGAAAAAAACAGAAGGCAGCTTTGGTATAATTCACACTGTATTTTTACACAGCCAGATCATTAATGATATCCCCTGATGTCGGTGGCAGACTCAAAGCGGAGAACTTCATTCCACACTGCCTTGAGTCCTATTTTTATCCTAAGAGGAAAGTAGCAGGTCTAAGATAACAGGATTACCAGAATCAAACTCGCTCAAATAGGAATTACGCTTTTTTTCTTGTGGAATGAAACGTTGTATCACGCTGAGAAGTCTTGGAGCATTGTGGCTGGGTTCTTCAGGTTACCTAACCCTTTCTGAAGCTGGCTTTGTATCGTGCTGCTCATTCCTGCAGCCTCGCTCTCTCAGTCTGTCTATGTACCCTCTCTGTTCTGTCACCTGGCTTGCGAGATACATTGTTGCCCTGGCAACAGGGAGAAATTCTCAACCTTCCGAGACGAAAAGCAGTGTTTGTAACGAACAAACTTGCTTACAAGGTGACATTTACAGCATGGCTGGTGAATTGATTATTGTTTAGCCCGGGGTTTTTGGGTTGAAGTGTTAACATCTATGTTACTGTCAGATCAAAGACCTGCTGCTGGTGACGGCACAGGGAGGAGGCTCTCAACATTATTTGTTCAGCTGCCAAATACAAAAAAGTCTTCATTAATTTAAAAAAGAGTAGACATAGCTCATGAGGCTGAGCTGTCTGATTGTGAATAACAACATTGCAGTTTGATTGGTGAATTGACTTGGATTTACGTTGAACAGTTATATCTGTGTTAACTGTCCGATCAGAGACCTGCTAATGACTGCCAAAGGAGGGAGCTTTCAGGATTAATCATTCAGCTATCCACTAAAGAAGACATTATTTGAACAGTCAAGTGTATCAAGCTTTAAAGTGTGCCTGCTTTGTATGTAAATTATAGTCTCTTCCTTTCAGCTCCAGAGCTTCCCATTGTTGAGAGGAGAAACTGGCTCATCCACCAGCACTATATCCGTAAAGACTATGATACCTGTAAGGTAAAGTACCGTCATTCCTCCGCTGTCCCAATGGCTCAGTCTCATTGACCTTTTAAAAAATAATGAAGATAATGAATGCCTGGCATGTACAGGGTTCTGTGTAACACTGTACTTTATTATGATCCAATTCACTGCATTGACCTGCATATGTGCACATGACACCCGTAGGTACTCACTTAAGTCTCTGAATACATGTCTGGACTTGTAAGATATATGAATGGAATCCTCTTGCACCAAGCAGTGAGAAGCATCTAGTTGTGAGTCTTGGGTATCCCAGCTAACCTGCTCTTTTGGTTCGCTGTCCGCCAGTCCATCATTAGCAATGAGACTAATGATGTAAGTCAATCACAATAACATACAGTGGCAACAAGAGCTCAACACATTCAGAATGTGCTTCCTCAGGAATCATACTGTTGCTTGGATGGTGGGAGCAGCACGGTGTGAGAACACCACACATCTGCAGGCGGATGGTGGGGGTCCAAGGAGGATGGAAACTGTTAATAGAAATCTATTTGGTGAAGCGTTTCATATAATCGCAACACTATTACATCATGTCTTAAACTTGGCATAACAGCGTTTGCCTTGTACCCACATTTTTAAAAAGTTTGATGGACGCATGTGATTCCCTGGATTATTAAACCCTGTCAGGCTCATGATCGCTTTCTGATGACCCTGAAGAAGTGTACACGCAGAAACACGGTGGTTTTACAATAAGGTTGTTCTATATTCTACAGCAGATAGCAGGACGTACTCTTTTAATCAGAGGCTAAACATTTCTAAACATAAAAAGAGGACCTTCATACTGGATTTGCAACTGTAATTGGACAACAGAAACTGTACAATCCCTAATAATAATTTAAAGACAAATGCAGATTGATTTAGCTACTTTCAACAAATTGATGGCCATCTAAATACAACGACTGGCTGGAGAATGTTACATTTTCATATTGTATTTATATTTTAAGCAATATTTTATTATTGAATATAATTTGCTCTAGTATTCTTGTTTTTTTGGACTAAATGATCAGGTTGGCAACCGACCAGAAACAGATCAGAGCTCTGAGACGTCTATTTTCAGCACAAACTCTTAAGCCACATTTTACACCAAAACAGTAACACCAACAGCTCGCTATGCACTGCCTCATTAGGATGAACCTCCCTCCTGTCAGTGACTCTCCTCCCATCTGTGCACCGTGCGCTCTGCACTGGGCACCAAAATAACACACAGCTGGGCAAAACACATTTTAAGGTCAGGAAAATAGCAGAAATAAGGCCCTCAATCTGTTGCAAAGCAGATATACAGGGGTTGGTATACTACACATTATCCATACAGGCAACATAACCTTTGCTTTTTGCAGTAGTCCTATTCACACAAGTTAACATCCACCTCAGTTTTAGAATTGTCTCTCGTTCTGTGTCCCGCAGGCGATCATCAAAGAACAGCTGCAGGAGACTAATGGGATGTGTGAATATGCCATCTATGTTCAAGGTGAGCCGTTATTTTATATTAACTCTTTCCTATCACACGTGTGTCACATTTATGATCTTAATATAGTGCCACACCAAATGAAGGCTCTGTGGTTGTCCTTATAACATATTTTCCTCCAGAATCTGCTCTATAGTGCCTACAGTATGCTGCCTGATTGTTAATGCGATTTTACTTCCTTGTGTTGATGAAGATCCTCTCTTTTTTGTGTTTGAATTACAACAGCACTAATCCTGCGTCTTGAGGGCAAGATCCAGCCGTCCCTGGAGCTGTTTCAGAGCTGCGCCATCCTTAATCCCAGCAGCACTGACAACCTCAAGCAAGTGGCCAGATCACTGTGAGTCCAACAGCCCGAGGCAGGGGAGCCTCAACCCACCTCTATTAGCTCACAAGACAGATATAGGAGATACATACTTAGTGATAAAAGCCCACTGTGGGCCAGTACTATTCATAACAACCGTAGGGAATAGTTTAATCGACCCCCGCTGACTATTTATCACTGTTAAATAGCTGTAAGAATAGTTATTCAGCATGCTGTGATAGGATTGATTCAAATCTCATATGGATTATTGTTGTTTATTCTTTCCGCAGATTTCTCCTGGGAAAGCACAAAGCAGCGATTGAATTCTATCATGAAGCTGCAAGGCTCAACGAGAAAGACTGGGTAAAAGAAAAGAAGACTAGTACTGAGTTTGTGCTTTGCCTTAAAGTGGATGTGTTTTTCGGCCTGGTGCCTTTCACTCTCAATGAAGTTGTCCCTTCTAATTCAAATGACGGAAATACTGCAGAATTTGTTTTCCACAGAGCTGTTGTCTTAAATAGCTTCAATATTTGGAAATTGAATTAGGCACAGCCTTCATCCCGCCCTGTTTAATTAAGCATGCCCCATTTATAATGTGACATTTTCTAACCCCAGGAGATCAATCACAATCTGGGGTTGTGCTATTTCTTCATCAAAGACTTCAAAAATGTGAGTATGCCGATCTTTGTGTCATTATACATTACAAAGTGTATTTATTCCCAAGTGCTTTGATCCTTGTTTATGTTATCTGTGTCTGTCAGGCTGAGGAGCATCTTAACATAGCTCTCCAGATAAACAAGCACGACAAGAGCTTCATGATGCTCGGGAAAGTTCATCTACTGGCCGGAGAAACGGACAGGGCCATTGAAGTGTACAAGAGGGCAGTGGAGTAAGTCAAGTTCAAATGTGATATTAAGAAATCAATGAGGATTTAAAGAGAAATCTATAAAGTAGCATTTTTAAACACATTCTAGGCGTTTAGTTCAATATTCTGTGGCTATGGTTCTCTGAATACATGTTTAAACAATTCAGACATACATGTGCATTGATCCATGATAAGTGTTACATTTCTGGTGTAGAATGTTTTTTTCAAGACAAAGCTTTTTTCATTTAACCCAAAACTTAAACTAATCTTTAATGTATAGCTGTTCATACTTGCACAGCCTCAGCGTGACATGTCTCTTTATGTCTCAAGACACTTACAGAGATAACAGACATAAAACATGCTGTTTTAGAGAAGGTTAGTTATTTCCGAGGGGTTTTGTCTTGATGTATCTACCGCCTCTCACTCTGTGGAGCTCTTTTTAATAAGTGCCTCTCATCCGATCTCACACAAAGCTCCAGTTTAGCCACAGTTTAACCTGGGGCCTTTTTCTGTTCTGTATGAATTATTTTCATTTCCACTTCTATTCACATGTTGAATATTTAAACATTAAGCCCTATAGTAAATAGAGAAATGACATTGATGTCTATAATAGAGCTCATTATTGCTACCTCCTGTTGGGGTTAAATTAATTAATCAACCACCCTGATGCTAATGTTGCTTTGAATTAGACATACCACTGTGAATCCTATTTTAATGCAGATACGCCTCTTGTCTACCATTTATATTTCCAAGCCCCATCATATCCCCACAGGTCATAATTAATACTCCACAATTATGCTGAATCAAACCATGATTGAATCAGCAGTTTCCTTGAATATCAACTATGTGTGCCTAAGAATAAGTGCAGGAATTAAATGTGATTACAGGCATAGATAAAGTTTCATTTGCCTAGTCTCCTTCTTTATTCAGCTTCTCTCCAGAGAACACTGAACTCCTGACGACTCTGGGCCTGCTCTTTTTACAGGTTGGTGGATTTGTAATAACCTTTCAAGTGAAATGAAGTGTAAACAAGATAAGAGTGGCATTCACTGTACGACTCAGAATAGAAACATCTAAATGGTGTTTTTTAATGTTGTGTTTTTGCCAGCTCGGAAAATACCAAAAAGCATTTGAGTACCTTGGAAATGCCCTCACTTTTGACCCCAACAATTATAAGGTATGTGGATGTTTGTGGGTAAACGCATCATTCTTTGGTATTAAAACAGTTTCCTACTGAGTGCATTAGATTCTTTTAAAGCAGCTCAGTTAAAGTGAAAGGTCACTCTCTGTCAGGTGGCACTGTCTCTCATCATGTGCACGATCAAAGGGTGCATCTTCCTCTAATACCTCTCTAATGATTGTTTTCATGTCAGGCCATCCTGGCTGCAGGCAGCATGATGCAGACCCACGGAGACTTTGATGTGGCCATGAACAAGTACCGAGTGGCGGCCTGTGCCGTGCCTGAGAGCCCGCCCCTCTGGAACAACATCGGCATGTGCTTCTTTGGGAAAAAGAAATACGTAGCTGTGAGTAAGACTGTCTATTGGTTCACTGAAGAAGTTAGTTCTCCCAATAAAAAGAGGTTTACTTATGACAGTGCCTATAGAAAATCATCATACCCCGTTGAAATGGTTTCTTTATTTATCGTACAGCCTGAAATAGAAACCCATACAAAAAAAGAGACTTTTCCCACTTCCTTTACAAATGTAGCTTTACAACATCGAACTAATGAGAAAAGAGGCGACAGTTCTGAACATTAACAACATTTAAAACTAGAGTAACAAGGTTGGAAAAGTCATCTGATCCCCTGATGTAATACTTCATGTGGAGTCCTTTTACAGCCATCAGATTTCCTTCAGGGCTCTGACTTGGCCACTTAAGGATGTTAAAAATATGGAAAGCATTTCCTTTTTAAAGTCTAAACCTGCATTGTTTATGTCATCCATATCTTCTAGCATGCAATATTCTTCTTGTTGGCGCATTAGTGTGTACCGTATTACTGCCCCCTGTTTTTCACTAGAATAGTATCTAACCCTTATTTTTGTATCGTACACATTCATGTGCGTCCTTGTGTGATATGTCAAAGCATTGTTCCATATCATTAATAATGGTCACAAACTAAACCTTTGATTAGGATGTTGAATGCAATACTTTAACATTGCATTCATTGTTTTACTTGTTGTATTGAAAGTTATGCTTACTTACTTTTTCCACCCCATAGTCCATAAAGACAACCAGGAATACATCCCTCCTCTATTGGCCAAATTGAAACACGCTCATCAGCGCTGACCTATATCATTTGTACACTGGGGCTTTATTCTTTGATATACTCTAATAGCATACCCAGCTCAGGCATTTTACACTGTGCTGTAGGTTGGCTCTCGATGCTTACTCCCTCTCCATTGCTTTTTTGAGGTTCTTCTTGGGATGATATATGATTTAGATGAACATCTGTCAGCTGTTTGATTCCTCTCCTAACTTCATGTTTCCACAGGCCATCAGCTGCCTGAAGCGGGCTCACTACATGTCTCCTTTTGATTGGAAGGTGTTGTACAACCTGGGTCTGGTCCACCTGACCATGCAGCAGTACGCCTCTGCCTTCCACTTCCTCAGCGCAGCCATCAACCTGAACCCACGCATGGGCGATCTCTACATGTTGCTGGCAGGTACTGTGGCCAAGAAATAATTCATGACTGGATTGGGCTTGCTTAAGAGAGCAAATAGAAGAGTGGTGGGAAAATAGTGGCAACCATTTTTCAGTTTACTGTTTCACATTGATTGAATTATTTACAAAAGGTGCATACTATACCTTTTGTAAAGCACACACAACACATAGAGCATGAAGAATCACTGAACAGTTCCTGCATGTGACAGTATTTCAGTTTAAACTCAAACTAATTCCTAACAGTGGCTCTGACCAACTTGGAGGACGTAGAGAATGCCACCAGAGCGTATGAACAAGCTGTGACCATCGACCAGTGAGTCTAAGCCGCCTTCTACTTGAATGTACTGTGAGTCTTAATTTGAGACTTTAATAGTTTCATGTTTTATTTCCTTCTCCCTCTGTGATCATTTATGTACAGATCCAACCCTCTGGTCAACCTGAACTTTGCCATCTTCCTCTATAACCATGGCGATAAGAAGGCCACTCTGGATCAGTACCAGGAGATGGAGAGGAAAGTCAACCTGCTTCGAGACAGCAGTAGCAGCTTCGAATTTGACCCTGAGGTAAGATAAGATAAGATGGACCTTTATTTATCCCTGTGGGAAAATGCAGGCGTTTCGAGGGGCAACCGGGTCAGAGTGAAGAACAGGATTCACACAAGGTCAAAGATCAAATAGAATACAAATGAAAATAATAATAACTCAAATGAAAGTGGTAAAGTGACTGTTGAAACAGATATCACAGTAAAACATTGAGCATTTGAATGGACATATACACACATTTGGATTGTAATTTAGATCCTGTTGATATTAAAGGTCCCCTATTATACTGTTTTTCATCAATATATTATAGGTCTCAGATATATACAAAACATGTCTCTGAAGCGTTTGGCTGGAAAACCAAACAGATCACCCATTGCAGCATCCCATAATCCCCTCTGTTTCAGCCCGGTTTCAAAAGTGCTGATTCTCTGTCTGTTACTTTGGTTACACGAGCCACAAATCGTTATGACATCATAAAGTGGCCAAAATCAGCTCATTTTCAGACAGGTTTTTATATAAATGGATTAGGACAAAAAGAGAGAGAATCTTTTTTCCTGAAACCTTCAGAATCTCTTTACACAGAGGGGACACATGCTTAAGTATAAAAGACATGAAAAAGAGGATTATGCATAATAGGTGACCTTTAACTTCTGAAAATCAGCAGTAGTTACCCGTACCTTAAGTGGTCTACTTGTCACCAACAGCTGATGGACATGGCTCAGAAGATGGGGGCTGCCCTGCAGGTGACAGAGGGCCTGGTGTGGGCTAAACCAGACAAGGAGTCCAAATCTAAACCCAACTCTGCAGCAGCCACCAAAGCCCCCGGAGCTGCTCTTGGAACCAACCAAGCTCTGGGCCAAGCCATGTCTTCTGCTGCGAGCTACAACAAGAACATGCAGCTACCATCAGGTACAAACCACCATTAAGGTTTGTGGAAGGTGTCAGGTAATATTCTGTCAACTCGGTGTCTGGTTACGCGTTTAGATATCTGACAGAACTGCGATGAGCCAGTGCAAGACTGAATGTCGTTTTTCTTATCAGAAAAGTCCAGTGTTACACCCTCAGTGCAGGGCATGAAGAATTGCACAGCCTCCACCTCTCTCCAATAAACCAAAGCCCAATTTTCATTTGAAATGGAACCATGGACATATCTCTTCTGTGTGAGCTCCCAGCTTCTCACCTGCACTGTAGCAGAGTGAATATATGGGATCAGGCCAAATGGAATATGGAAGGGAGAAAAAGCTAACCTCCAGCCAGTATACTCTCTATTATTGGCAACAAAAAGAAAGTCAGCGGGCTGGAACAAAACAAAGTTAAGCAAATAAATTCAAGGTTACTCTGAAATGATAGTCGTGGCTTACAGCTCTCAAATGTAATTGGACAGGAGTGTTTTTTAACCCGAGCCTGCAAGCTGTGTTTTCTATAACCTTTATTTAGCTAATAACAGCAGAACAATGCATCCATGTTCAGTGACATTTTACACAGCTCTGATCTTCTATCTGCAATTTGTAGGAAATGTAAATAAAGCCTGTACGTTCACTTTAAAACCTAGTTAGTGATTAACAGTTTACTATTAGTGCCAATGATACTGGATATTTAAAGTGGAGCTTGTACCTATTTACTGGTGTCTGTAATTCATGTTGTGGCAGGATTCCTATATAACTTTACTGTGTCTTTGTGGTTATGAAGATGAACAACTTAACCCTGAAACTTAGTTTGGGTTTGAAAATAAATATCTGCCAGAGCATTATGAGTTGAAGTTATTTGTAATGGTATAAATCTTTTAAAGGGTAACTTCTGGTTGTACATGTTCTTTTTCGCAGGCATTCAAAAGCCCACTACCTCTAACATTTTACATCACCTTTTACACTGTTTTACTTTACAGATGATTCAAAGGTAACTTAGAAAATGATCCTGTCAGAAACATCGTTTGAGCTGTTCTTAAGTCTAAAACAAAAATGAGAAAACATTTTAGACTACTTAGAATAAATTCTAAGAATGTATTTTCTTCTACATAATACGGTATATCTACTTAATTCAACTTCACCAAAAGGAGAACTCTGACCTGCGAGTTCGAGCTGTTTAAAATAAGAAGTGGAAGTCAATCACATGTTTAGCTATTTCATCTGTGTAGGTTTTAAGCAACTAAATCATTTTCCGAGCAATGTATCGACTCTTTGTTATTCTCAGGAGTTTCCAAAGGCCCCTCCATGCCCCTGGAGCCAGAGCCCGATGAGGAGTTGGCCCCCAGCCCCCCCGATGATCCTCCAGGATCCCCGCTGCCTGCAGAGTCAGAAAACCCCAAACCCAAAACCTCCAAGAGGAGATCTAAGGTGGAGGAATGAGTTTAGCTGCTATCTGCATCTTACTAGATATCTTTGTCATAAGATCACGCTGGTTTTATGGAGGCAAATCAAGGTTCTTAAACAGCACTCAAGCTATTTGTGGTTTTCTAGCTCCTTGTAGTTAGACATGAAGGCTGAGGGGTTGTGCTTCTGGTTTGAATACCTGCTGCACTGACATTTGTCCTCCTTTACAGTGAAAAGGTCAACTATTATGTGCAATTTGTTCATACTATTTATTGCTAGATTACTGACTGTCAGTAAACCAACACCCTGCTTCATGCAAGATGAGGAAATCAAGTGTTTCTTGTAGATGTCGATGTGGCAGGTTTGGTGCACATGTCCAACACATTTCAATGGAACTTTAGGAACTTCTCTTTTCAACAAAATGGTTATATGAACATTGTTAAGGAACTGCTTCGACAATCACTGAGATCTTAGGACAGAAATGGATGTTATGATAGTTACAGGTTGTCTGTCTGATATGGCTCTTTTTGAGGGTTGAGTGTAAATAGGGACACGCTTTTATATGTGGATACATGGTATGTTTATAGAGAGTAATGTATTTAATAAAAAAACAAGAGACTTTAAAGAGAATGACTGTGTCGCTTCTTATTCAAAGTCCAGTTTGTGTCTTGTGTCATGCTTTGCTTTCCATTATTAAGCTTTGCAGACAACAGAGGACAGAGTTGTTTCAGAGCTTCAAAGTGAATCTGTTATCTAACACTGATACATGTTCTGAACAAGGAGGACACCCTACACATAAATAATGAATCCTTCAATCCTAAAACTTTCAACATCTTGGGTAAAGGCATACGGTGGAATAGGTGTTGATATATTATTATTATTAAATAAATAAATCTGAAACCACTGATGTTTTGGTTTAGAAGTCAAGAGACTGAAGGACTGCTAAAAAAAACAAAGAAATATAAATAGAACCATTTCAAAATGTAAGAATTATACCCAAACACTTTCAAAATGTGTTATAATAAATACCAAAAGAGCTTTCATAGTAACAATCACCTCCCAGCTCACTGAACTCTGCTGTGAACTGTTTGGAGATCATTAACTGTAAGTTGGGTGTTTTTTTACAAATATTTATGTTGAATGATTATTGCAACTCAAGTTTATTTCAGAGATTTAAATCAGTTTTGATATAATAGTGCTCACGAAGTTTCATAATTTTGTCTGAGGCATATGGAACAAAGTTAGGACTCTGCGTCGCACTGCACCATGGGATGTCTGTCATCATGATGCAGTCATGGCTGGAGATTGTGTGCAAAGACATGCTTGTGCTGCAGTGCAATGCTTTGGTTTTGAAAATCTGTGTCATTGTGTATTATTTGATTACAAACCTTTGGGTCAGGCAAAATGGAATTTGTCATGAGTTATAATATACACCTGGGCCAAAAGTTATTTTTGAACAATAGACAATCGTTTCTGCCTCAGTGACGTTCATCAACATCATCAGTAGTTGTTTAAGTATGTTTCCATTGCAAAAGAGCCCACTCAGTTCAGCCTTCCAAATACTTTGTTTCTGGTTATGTTTTGTATAAAGGACATGATTTCCCTCAACAATCCATCCTACACAGATATTGAGTTTTGCATCAATTATCTTTCAGTATGTGGCAACTGAGGGTTCCTGTAAAAACACTGCAGTAATAACCGTGGTAAATGTACTTCTAGATTTCTCTATACATGCTCTGACTGAATGGAGGTACCTGCTGATCAGTAACATGAACTACATTCGAGGATTCTTTTTTACTAAATTATAAGCTTTTTTCACTTTTACTGATGGATGACACTCATACATGAGAATGTTTTGACGTGCTGCAAAAGTATACATTTCCCTTGTGGGACACTGAACAGAAAAATTCCAAAACATAATTGCCGTTTATTATGCTTACTGTTTTTGGAATCCCATTTATTATTTAGACATCAATTTAGTTTCTTTGTTTTTATTCATGTTAGGTTGCACTGAACTTAATGTGATGCCATATTAAACAGAATGGTATTTAAAGCTAAATATATTGTCTTAATCTTTGAATCCTTGCAAGACATACTTTTCTATTTTGACATATTCATTTGATACTTTATATAATGTTCTTATCTAAAACAGGAATCTTATTGGAGGCTGATAGTAATACAGTCTTCCTTACAGTTACCTTTTGTCATTCAGGATTAAATGCAGCCATCATTTGACTCTGACGCTGACACACAGCAGCGGTCTAGATCTACCTTCCTCATCTTTCATACTTTTCTGATGGAAAATAGAATTGACATGTGTAGCTATTATCCCCAAAACACTGTCGTTTTTTATTAGGTTCTTGTTAAACTGTGCATGCCCGATTTGCCTGTGTTCATAACTTTTAGAGGCCAGCTGATGGCTGCTGATTTACTGCTGCAGCAGATGTGGAAAATAGGTTTTCACTTTCTCGTCTCCAAGAGGCTTGTGGAAGCCTCAGTCTCAATACTTCGAATATGAATAAAGGTCAATACACTGTGGCTCCCTTAAGTGTGATTTATTGGCAAATCAACATGTTTTGTTTTGATCTGAATCCATTTTTCAAGTTTCTTTCAAGTCATCATGGATCCAGGGAATAAGTGGTACTATTATTTTATTTATGTTTTTTGCCTTTCAGATTTGACTGTGTTAGGTATATATCGACAGCTCTAAATAATACACTATTCACCAGGTTTGTTTTTTTATAACTTGAAATGTATAATAAGGCCATATTTTTGTTTTGTTGCAGCACAAAGCTGACAGATGCCTTACTTGGACAAAGACGTCATTTTTATTTCCACACAGTCTTTCTTATTTGAGTTACAGTGACATGTGGTGATTTGATATTTGAGGATTATGGATGTCTGGATTTCATATAAGCTATAGCAGTTAACCTTAACCTCATTTTCCTACTTTGCAGATCTACCGTATAACCTTTTAGCTTTTACATCCCATACTGTAATTCTGTCCGCACCTCCTCATACAGTGTCTGCCTCTCGTCTGGCCCTTTTAAATAGTTCCCCAGATAATCGTAAGCTCTCAAGTATCTAGCTCAGCACCGGCCACTGAAAGTCCTTCACACACTCCTCATCATCTTTCCTTCCTACTTACCTCAGCTACATATCATGTGTGTCCAGTTTCCCCTGAACTCAGCACAGCCTGGCCTGCCTCCATACGTTCAGGTCCATACTGAATGTTAAGAGTAAAGAGTGTATTCTCATCTTTATAGATTCAGTCATAAATATGCATATTTAACTGTTTTGTACTAGGAAAGTATTCAATGTGTGCAAATACAATCCAACTTCAACTTTAGAATGCCACTACCAATTAAACCTCAAACAGAGACAAGCAAAAAACGTAATCCTAAATACATTAGTTATTTCTGGTGTTACCTGAGGTCTAATTGGGGCTGTTATTTTTACCAACATCCACAATTATTTTTTTCCAGCTGTGAGCATCTCTTTGATTTCCTTTGTGCATTACATTTGGTAGAATAGCGTCTATCAACAGTGCACTCAAAAACAGTTTTTAGTAGCCTATGATTCTTGTCCTTTATCCATGCTAGCAGCGGGGTCAGTCAGTCAATGATTGGTCCAGACCAATGTTCTCAACAAACCTATTTGATCATTAACTGACTTCCCTGAGGTTTCCCTATAACCCCACCATGAGCTTCTCATTTGTGTTTTTGTTGTGAAATGTCTCAACAATTATTGGAAACTTCCCCTCTCAGGAGCATGAGCTCAAACATTTTCCAATATCTGGCTTTCAACTACAATCCTGTTAAATGAAAATCCTAAAGACAGTGCCTTCATTCTTAACTTCGATATGTTTGAAGTGCTTTTTAGCGGTTATTTGCATGTGAACTAAACTAAAATGGTGAAAGCCCCTCTGTGCCAAACCACAGCCGCATGCACTAACGCAGCTGTAGACTCTAAGTCGTGTTTGAATAGCCTGTATGTGTTTTGTCATTTATCCATTGTGAACACACTACAAAACCTGCTGAGGATTAGCGTATAGTATAATGTTGGGATGCAACTATGCAGTGCAAATCTTTGTTTGTAGCTCTTGAAAGGCAAATAACAGTGCTCATGTCACAAAAGCTGCCTCAGTTGCGCTTTTTTCCATTAACTATAGCAGTCAGGGCCACTCAAACTCCCTGCCTGAAGATCTGAGACTCATTATCGCTTCTCCAACTAATCTTTTGGATTCAAGCAAGCAACTACATTTCCAGCATGTCCTACATTTTGGCAGCCCTGAAAGATATTAAAGCCTCAGTTGGTTTTAACGTTTCTTCTGATAAATAAAGTGCATGTTTAAGCAGTGAAATTATTATTATTATCATTATTGTTGTTATTATTACCCTGAGACCTTCCAATCGTTCCCAGTCACCTCACTCTCTTTCACCTTCTCACCAGTTTTCTCTTTACTCATCAGCCCTGCCTGCATTATAATATTCCCATTTCTTCTCATTCCATGCACGATTGTGTTGCGCTGTGCCTAGTTTACAGCTACCTCAACCTGAACCCTGAAATCTGAGACTTGTTTCTGCCTGCCTGTACAGTATACACGTAAGTAACTCCACTTGCTTATTAAATCACTAAACTCACGGATGATGAGTCAGATGACCTGGGTTTGAGGATGCTGGGAAGAATGAAAGAAGTGGACAAGTTGACATCAGTGTGAAGGTCACATGGTTCCTTTCTACTTCATCATCGTAAGCATCTCTGAGCTCCCTCTTTTAAGTAATTCTGTCCACCTGTATCACGGAGTGATTTATCAATATCTCAATAGAAGTATTCTGCCCTTAATCTTATTATATATGCTGAATTCATGTTCTGAAAGCTGATATGTGCGCAAATTACCTGCACCCTCATTCATAACAATCGGGACACTAATGAATCTATATTGGTATCTTAAGATCATTTTTCAGTTGGTTCGTTTGATTTATGAAATCATCTGAATGAAGCTGAGTCCGCCCATTTTTTTTTGCACCTGTATCATTAAACCATCCTGCGGATCGTAACAAATGATATATTCCTTGGCACCATTGGTATCTGTAATGTGTAGAAACTGAGATTCAACCATGAGCGGCATCAACAAGAATGAACTTGTTTTGAAAAGTAATACTAGCACCATTAAACATGTAGGGCACTGTGTATCAAAATATTTACGCAGCCCGCATGCAGCTCACCACGGGGGGGTCACATGTGGCTCTCTCCCCTGAAGAACCCTCAGCACAGCACGCAAACAGTGTGCTACAGTATGTCAGATCTAAACCTTTTGGGATTGATGCGTGTCAAAATGATGTTTTACAGTCTTTTTATAACACTACTAGAGCATTGTGTGAATGGATACCTTTAATTGTATTGCAGAGTTATAGGCTCAAAGGCATTATTATCAGAGTCATGTTGACTGAATTGTCAGAAATCAAAAGTGTTTTCAATTAGGCCTAGTTAAACACTGAGTCTTAGAAACAGGCTAGACCAGGGATGGGCAATTGGCGGCCCGCGGGCCGCATGCGGACCCCGCCTCCTCTTTTTGCGGCCCTCAGATTAATTTATAAACAAAGTAATTATTTGTTTTTACTT